TCCCCTGTGTGTGTGTCTAGCAGCAGAGCACCAACACACCTGCGGCAGAGCCTGACAGAAGCTCAGAGAGAAACACCGCAGTCCTGGGCAGCAGCGGGAGGTTTCCGCACCCCTCTGTCAGTAGCTGGTGTGTCAGGCGGGCAGCCTATCAGAAAAGATATCCATCGGTGAACTGAGTGGCATTTTCTGGCAACTCAATCTACTTGACGTTTATGGAATACTCGACCTGGTAAGAGCAAAACCCTCAGGCTCCCAAGTTCAGAGGAACAGTACCAGAGATAGACCCTGTTGGGGAGGACGTAGAACATTCCTCTGTAAATACAGAAGAATACAAGTCGTGAACAAGGAAGTTCTCATCAAAATTGTATTAAATTCGAAATCTAGAGCAGAAAAATTGAGGAATAATCAGCACATGCTTGGAAAATTAGCCTGAAGCACTTCTGATCAACACATGGATGAACGCAGAAGACTCCAGAGAGACTGGAAGACACTTTGAACTGAAGGGAAAAGTCATCCAAATTTTTGTCCTTCAGCAGTAGCACTGCTTACAGGGAAATGGAAGGTATAACAAAACTTCATGTATTGGAAAGGAAGAAAGAGCTAAGGTCAGTGACTTGAGGGTTCACCTTGGGAAGGCAGGAAAGGCCAATTCAAGTCTAAGGAAAGCAGGCAAAAATATATAACACAAATCGAGAACAGAAACCAACAAAACTGATAGCAGGAGACCACCCATAGTGGGAAAATAAAGATGCCCAAAGCTGGTTCTTTGACACCACCCAGGAAAGAGGCAAACCTCTGTCAGGCCAAGCAAAAGGGGAGAGAAGAAACAATGTACCGATATCAGACTTGAAAGACAGGGACATCACTACTGGTCTCCCGGACACTGAAAGAACAAAAAGGAGGCATGATTGTAAGCTGTAGACTGGCAAATTCAGTGCATGGGATGAATAACGCCACTCCTTGAAAGACACCATCTACTGGAAGCCACGTGGGAAAACAGATGACCTGGACGGCTGTGTATTTATGCACTGGGCCCAGACTTTTCCCCTGGTGAATTCTGAACAAACATTTAAGGGTGAAATACCAATTCCCCACTATCTCTTCCAGAATATAGAATCAGCGGGCATATTTCCTACTTGGTTTTTTGAGGTCAGCATTACCAGACAGTAAGAAAAAAAGACATTGCAGGAAAAGAAAACTACAAGCTATGAGCATTAACACAAAACCCCTGAACAATGGATTAGCAAATTGCATCCAACAATGCACGTGAAGAACTATACACTCTGACCGGATGGGGATTCTTTCAGGCATGCAAGGCTGGTTCAGTGTAATTCGCCACATCAGCAGGTTAAAGAAGAAAAATCATGGGATCATACCAACTGATGCAGAAAACATTTGATAAATTTCAGCACCATTCTTGTAAAAACTCTAGCAAACTAGGAATAGGGGGGAGCTTCCCCACCCTGGTAGAGAAGACCTATGGAAAACCTACAGGTAACATAATACTTACTTACAGAATAAGAGACCAGAAGCTTTCCCCCAAAGACGTGTCTGCTGTCAGTCAGAGTCACCAAAGCACACAAAGCACTCCCAGCTTGTTTAATAAGAAAACAAACAAAAGGAAATGAAAGGTGTTTGGATTGGTAATACTGAAGTAAGATGAATTTTTATTTGCAGAGAATATAATTATTGATGTGGAAACTCCAAAGAATCCACCAAAAATGGTTGAATTAACAAAGGAATTTTGAAGACCACAGGTGACAAGGTCAGCGTACACAAAGACAATGTCTTACCTATATATGAGCTGTGAACAATTAGAATCTGGCCATTAAAGGAAACTGCCTTTTACAATGGCAACCCTGTGTTTGAAGGATCAAGCCACGGATATAACCGACATGCACAGGATCCGTTTGTGGAAAACAAAACCACAAGCCGTGAGGAAAGAAATCAAAGAAACGCGAACTACAAGAAGAGCTATTTTTTTTATGCATGGGCTGGAAGACTGGTAATTGTGACAATTTAGATTCTTCCCAGGCTTAGCTACAGAAACAACAGGATACCAATCAAAAGTCACAGCAAGCTCTTTGTACCTATCGACCTACTGACGGGAAACTCTATGTTGAGAACCAGAGGCTCTAGAAGAGACAAATCAATTCTGTAAACGAAGAACAACGTTACTGGACCCATACTGTCTGGTCTCAAGACTTCCTAGAAGCTGCAGTAATCAAGAGTGTGTGGCCTTGGCCAAGAATCACCCTGAGTGCAGGTCAGGGGGTCAGAGTGGGAAGCCCCATGAGAGACCCACACAAATGTCACTCAACTGAACTTTAACAAAGGCACAAGCACACTTTGAGGAGAAAGGATTGCCTGTTCCACACATCTTGCTGCACTAATTTGGTGCCCAAGTGCAAAAAACAACTTCACCTACACTTTCTCAATCGTTACATCAATGTGGACCCAAATCCTGCATGTTAAATTCCAAATTTGAAACAGCTGCTGGAAGAAACATTGCAGAAAATCAACATGACTGTCTGCCGAGGAGCTTTTAGACAGAACACTGGAATCCGTGCAAGAGACAAAGCTAAGCTGGACTTGTGAAAAATAAAAGCTTGTGCTCCAAGAGACTGTTTAAAAGTGAGACAAGCCCGAGTCCGGAAAAAGATATTTGTAGAACACAGGTCTGACGGTGGGCTTGTATCCAAACATGAAAAGAAACGATAAAGCTCAAAGCTTAATAAACAATAACCCAGTTTTAAAATGGGCAAAGGATCGGAACAGACACCTCAGTCGATGAAGATCTAGAAAGGGCAAATGAGCGTGGGAAAGGTTGCCTGCTTGGCGTTTGGGAACGGCATATGGAAATAACAATGGGATAACACTGCACCTTCGTAAATGCCTAACATCCAAAAAACCTGACAAAACCTACTGCTGGCGAGCACACAGGGCGAGAGCAACAGTCACTCATTTAAGGCCTGAATTCTTAAACGGACAGCAGCTTGGGAAGAGAGTTTGAGAGGTTCTTATCAAAGTTAAACAGAGGCCTACTGTTCTGTGATGCAGTAACTGTGCTATTAAGTATTTGACCTACTGCCTTAAAGAGTTATGTCCTTGCAGAATTAGGAAGAGAAACTTGATTCAAAGGAGCATTGCAAGGAAATGGGGGTGGGGCGAAGCGGGAGGCTAGGGAGGGGTGCTCTTGCAATAGAACACCCTACCATAAGAGCAGCAAGCATCTGGAGAGTTAGACAAAATGGTCCCTTCTTTTATATGGGGGATTCAAAGACCCCAGAGTGGGGGGATGGAAGGAAAGGGTAGCGTGAGCAGCTAGAGAATCACAGCTGTGTCAGCCTAGGCTAGGACAGCCTGCTCTCAGGAGGGTGGTGTGCTGGCTCAGGCTGAGGGCGGGTCAAAGCTCAGAAACCTAGAGGAGAGAGAGAACCTTAAGCAGAGTTTGAGTAACAGGTAATTTTGCTCCAGTGGTTCGGTGGACACGGTAGGTCAGCTAATTGTTTATGAGGTGAGCAATGGGCGCTTGGATGGACTGTACCTGGTTTTTGTTGGGTAAACAAGCCCCCATGGTGAATGCTATCTAAGCAGATGGGGAAGCCAAGCTCCTTGCAGTGGTTAGTTTCCTGGAATACGACATTTGGGCAGATCTCTTTCTAGGATCACAAGTGTGGGTAACGTTCAACATTGTGAGTCCACACAAAATCCTGCACACCAACGTATATAGCGCTCTTTTTGATAATCACAAAAAATGGGAAGCCAAGATGTGCCCCGATATGTGAATGAATAAAGGATCTATGGTGCATCCGCTGAATGGAACACTATTTGGTGATAGAAAGGAATGAGCTTTCAAGCCACGGAGAGATATGGATCTGTTTTATATTCATATTGTTAAGTGACATTAACCAGTCTCATAAAACTGTGTATGTTGCAATCCAATCATAAGATACTGGAAATTATGAAAATTGAAACACTGCAGTGATTATAGTACTTCCTAGATTGTCAGTATTGGGTACTTGAATATTTAAAGCACAGGTATATTTTAGGGCTTTGAAAATGTGTCATACTTTGGGTGTGTCAAAATCCATAGGGATTTACAGTAGGAACTATGGAACTATGGAACCAAAAAATCACAATTGAGTGCAGTATGTAACAAAAGGCATTAATCAGAGTTCATCATAAAAAGTCCACTGATGAAATTTTACAAAGCAAAATACTCAAAAAATGTTTAAAAAACCAGTGCAGTTTCCACTGCGTTCAAGGTAAGACACACAGTAAGTCAAAAAAGAACAGCTGAATTATCAATAGATACAGTGTAACTAGAAGGAAAGAAATTGGAAACCTGCATACATAAATGCTAGCTTATCAATAAGTACCATAATGTAAACATACTAAATATATGAATTAGAAGCAGACTTTCCTAGTGTAACACACAGAGGTAACTCTACAATGTTTACGTGAAAAATCACTTCAATTTCAATGATAGGCTAATTAAATATAAAAGGGTTGGAAAGCATATCTTGCATACATTAATTAAAAAGCAAGATAATTAATTAATTACATAGACCTCATCGCCAAGAAAATAGTGGATGTCAAAACAAATCATAAAATAGAAGATTCAGTCCCCCAGGAGGAAATCTTTTCTGCTTCCTTTAACAACGTGTGTGTTTTATTCTTGTCGCAGAGCCCTCAGTTCTTGTGTCTGTCAGAGCAAATGACATGCTATTTTGCTTATTGTATTCATGGATAAGTGAAGCTAATAAACTGCAAGAGCTTTGGAAAGCCTGATCCATCTCCACATTGTCAGAACACAACACAGAGTCTGTGTCTGGCGGATTGCATAGTCATTAACTGCCTTATGAATGAATTTCAGGCCAGTAAAGGCTATTTTGATAGGGTCAAGGAAAGGGTCCCTTTACATCACATTCAACAAGTGGCCAATCCGGGCCAATGCAAAGAGTCTGCTTAGTAACTTGCTAGGAAACAGGGGCGGTGGGCACACGCTTGGCAGGCTGCGGGCGCCATGGGCAGAGTGAGGAGAGGCGCGAACGCTGAGCCGCGTGGGCGCCTGCAGCCCGGGGGTCCCGCAGCAGCCGTCCGCGCAGCCGTCCGGGTCGGGGGCGGCCGGCGCCCACCCGTGCGAGTCCGGATGAGGAGCCACGCAGCGGGGAGGCGGCCGGGCGCCCGCAGGGACTCGACCCGGCTGCGGCGCAAGCGCTGGTGGCGGCGGGCCCGGGCGGCCGGCTGCAGAGATCCGCTGGCGCCCGCGAAGCCGCCGCCGGCCGCCCCGTCCCCCAGCGAGATGGACCTGGGCGCGCAGCGCGAGCGCTGGGAGACGTTCAGGAAGCGGCGGGGCCTCAGCTGCGAGGGCGCCGCCAAGTTCCTGCTGGACACCTTCGAGTACCCGGGGCTGGTGCACCACACCGGGGGCTGCCACTGCGGCGCCGTGCGCTTCGCCGTCTGGGCGCCCGCGGACCTGCGCGTGGTGGATTGCAGCTGCCGCCTGTGCAGGAAGAAGCAGCACCGGCACTTCCTCGTTCCGGCCGCGCGCTTCACGCTCCTGCTGGGCGCCGACAGCCTGGTGTCCTACCGCTGCCACACGCACCCGGCGCTGCACAGCTTCTGCAGCAGGTGCGGGGTGCAGAGTTTCCACGCATCGGTGTCTGAGCCCGGCGTCTACGGCGTCGCCCCGCACTGCCTGGACCCAGGCACGGTGCGCAGCGTGGTCATCGAGGAGGGGGACGGCGGCGACTGGGGCGAGGAAGCCGCCAAGGAGCACGAGACCCTCCCGAGCGCGACCGGCCAGTGAGCCCCGCCTCTCCTCCCGAAGAGGCCCGGGGACCCGGGGCGCCCGCGCGCCCGCAACGCGGCCCGGCCCGCCGGCCCGCGAGGGACCCCCCCCCAGTGCTTGTGTAACGCCTCCCCGAAAGTCGCCTGCTCTGGACTGCTGCTGAACCTGTGCTGTCCCCGCGCTCCCGCCCCGCCCCGCCCCTCCGGGGCTTGTGGCTGGACTTGCTGCCGGTGGAGCAGACGAGCCCGCAGACCAGAGATCCTGAGCGCGCGCCTGTCTGTGTCCAGGCTGACCTTCCAGTCCAATAAACAAGCAGGGCCGCTCCTTTCTCCAGGCGCTGTCTGCACCCCTCTGTCCTCCCATTTTTCACACAGTGGTTCCGGCGAATCCTTGGCAGGCCATCCCCAGTGCAGTAGGGCTGTGTGTCATGACAGGATAGTTCTGGCGCCTGCGTCGGGTTAAACGCGGGCACTTGTGTTTCGGCACAAGCAGTTTTGTGAACGTTTATTAGGACGTTTCCCGTCGATTCTCTTTGTCTTCGTGTGTGGGGGGCTTAGGTAGGCACTCCCACGTCTGCTGCCTGGAGATGTGCCGCTTTCAGCCACATGGCTTCACGTGTTTTTCAAGTAACGTTTAAGATTCGCTAGTGTCACACACCTCGCTGTGCTTAGTTTTCCAGGGGTGTTGGCAGTTTGCTTGTTTTGTTTTAGACGCTGACTCTGGGTAGGGGGGTGAGGAGACAGAAGAAAGAGAAAGATGTCTGTGTACTGTGTGCCCTCTTGGTGTTTTGAAATTCCTACCTTCTACGTGTCCTAAGTATTTAGAAAAAATAAATTCTTTACAAACTGAAATGGTGTGTTTATTCATATATAATGCTGGGCTTGTCCATGGGACAGGTTAGTTATTGAAGGTATTTGGTTTCAGATTATTTGAAAAGACAGTTGTCCGTCTTGATTTTTGTAGTGGGGGGAAATTCTCCAGATTCTGAATTTTGGATTACTGGAAATTGTAAAGTTTTTACAGATTCAATTCTGAGAACAGTCTACCTGTTTTTGAAACCAGGCTCTGCTACCTACTAGGTCAGATTTTTAAATTCTGTGTGCCTCAATTTCATCTTCCATAAATAATGTTAATAACATATTCATTATTTTCAGGGTTAACATAGCACTTTATACTTACTAAGTTATCAGTCAATCCAAATATTTATGAGTGAATGAATGAATGAACACATTGCAGTTACATATACAATAGGATTTTATTCAGCCTGGAGAGAATGACCTTCTGAAACATACCCCATCATGGATGGACCTTGAAAACATAGTAAGTGAAATAAAGTCCTCACAGCCTATTTTATGATTTGACTTTTATGAGGTATCTAAAATAATCCAATTAATAGAGATAGAAAATAAAATAGCTGTTACCAGGACCTGAGGAGGGGTAATGGAGAATTATTGTATAGTGGGTACAGAGTTTTAGTTTAATGTGATAATAAATTCTACAGAAGGACCATGGTAATGGTCTGTACAGCAACATGAATGTACCCAATGTCACTGATTGTAGACTTAAAATATTTAAAATTGTAAATTTTATAGTGTGCTACTTTATCACTAGAACAAATAATTATAAAGAATAATTAAAAATCATAGTGCTATAAAAATCATAGCACTAATCCCATGAGAATAATTGCTGAAAATTGTGCAGGTATTAAGCTTATGATAACATATGCATTTTTAAAAAATTCTACTTTTTGCTTGAGTTCAAATTTTATCATTGGTAATAGGTATTATAAATTGGTTTCCTTGACACAAAATTCCCTTTTTTTATTTTTCAAAATATTACTCAAACACTCACATCTAAATAACTATAGTTTGTGAATAGTTCCTTCAAGTAGAATGGTAGTCCAGGGAAAAATAGAAACCTGGATAAACTGGCTAGTCAAATAATCATACAAGTTTATTTCCTTGACATAATCACCTTACTTTGTTACTCAATATAAGTCTTTTATGGTGCTTTCTTCCTTTCTATTTCCTTACAAGGAATACTGGGTGGCCTAAACAGGGTTGATATTGATAAAATGGAAAATCTTTCTCCTTCAAGGACATTTTTAATTTAAATTGGAATTACATATTGTCACATGCTGCACAATGACAGTTCTGACAATGACGAACCACAGCTACAATTTGGTCCCCGTGTATGGCCCGGGTGTGTAGTAGGCTACAGGATGTATATGGTTTAAGTACACTGTGTAATATTCACACAATGGGAAAATCAACTAACAATGCATATAAACATGTCTTGTCATTAAGTGACATGTGGCTGCATATGTTTATATGTATATATACATATACTGTGTATATACCCAATACAATAAAATAATATATACTCAGTGCAAATGGCAACACAGTGGAATGTGGCCAATAATGTCTTAGTATTTAAGAAAATATTTCTTACATTTAAGAAAATAGCATTGGCAAGATAAACCCCATCATTTTCATCCACTGATGGTGTTCTTACAATGAAAATAAAATCATGTCCTTCTGTTGTTTAAACCCTCCAATGATTTTGCTGCACAGAAAATAAATCCCAATGCCTTCACACCATTATGTGAACTGGCCACTCATTACCTTTCCAGTGTCACCTCTTACAACTCTTCCTTTCATGCAACCTTCTTCAGTCACCCTAAAGCATTTCAGTTTCTAAAATGCACCAATCAAATCATTTCAGAGCCATTGTACCTGCAGGAACACAGATCTTCCAAATTTTTAGTTTGATCTTTATCATTCAGTGTCATTCCTTGCTCAGGTCTTTCCAGAATACCCGGTCTCAAGCGGCACCTTCCATGACATCTTACCCTCCATGCTATTATCTGACTTCATTTTCTGCAAAGCACGTCCAGTCCTTGAAATATTTATTTACTGTGTGATATCATTCTTTCTGCCCCGTAGAATCTGTGCTGTTTGAGAACAGAGACCTGGTCTTTCTTGTTTGCTGCTGTATCTCAAGTAAATAGAATAATACCTTGCAGATAGTCTGTACTTGAAATGTAATGTTAAAAGAAAAGAATGAATATCATAAATGTTATCATAAATATCATAAATCACATAAAGACTCTGACATATGGCTTTATTCCCAATATGCACGAGAGAAAATTAATTCAAAAAGGTGAAGTGAATTGCGCAGATTAGAGTGAAGATAAGAAAAGCAAAGTATTATTGATTTCTGTAAAGTAGAATGATGTTTTCATGTAATCACATCAGGCATGTTGGAAAGATGATCGTATCAATAGGCCCATATATTGGGGATGCCTTGCTCAGTGTGAAAGGTTGCAAAGTTTTAGCCCCACTTCTGTTCCTGCACACTAAGTGAAGTACAATACTAAAAGAGTTCTCACAAACAAGAGTTATCAGGGAAAGAGGGGAAGACTGGTTTTTTTCCCCAAAACTCTGGGTTTCTCCAGTGGTGAAGGATCATAAAAAGACTTGTAGTTACAGTTCCCTGGAAGTTGTCTCCTGATAAACTACAGTACTTAGCATCTCAGTACTTAGCATCTGTTAATAATTTATGGGCAGGCAGAACCTCAGGACAGGGCAGGTTTTTTTTTTTTTTTTTTTTTTTTTTTGAGGACAGGCGTGCCAGAGTGGCACCCAAAAGAACGAGGCATATAACCCACCCGTACTCTCCACGCTCTCTCTTCATGCAGACCTGCTGCAGTTCAGCAAAACCTTCAATGTTGTCCTTTGTACAAACCATCATCAAGAGGGAGAAGCAGCAAGCCAAGCCACCCCGGGGTGGGAAAAGAGAACAAGATTGGCATTTTTAACATTTCCTTTTTATCCTCTCATCCAAGGCACAAAGATATTTTCTTCCTTAGATGTGCTATGCTAAGACAGCTTATAAAAAGTGAACTGTAAATTATTTATGTTAGCCCTAACAGTTTTTGGACGTTGCATGTCACAGCAATGAAATTGCGCCCTCCAGTGGACATTGTAGAGACAGACAGTTCTGTGTAGTTAGGGATCTTTTGTAGACATCAAAATGCATAGATAAGAATTTGGGGAGCATCATCAGAAGTCAGAAGGCACATGATTCTTGTGTTCAAGTGGTACAGGAGTAAAGTCCTTGGCATATGATTGCTGTCTCAGTTATGATGCTTTCATCTATCGCAACAGTTTGGCACCACACCCAGACACAGCAGCGTCCCACAGGAAAAAGGGACTTTTTCCCCATCTTGGGTCCACCTTTTTAAGGATGAGGAAAGATTTGATATAAACATATTGTCCCTGAATTCAGATTCCATTTAGTCTTCCATAATCCTGATTGTGTTCTTGATTCAACATAATAAATTTTATCTTCTATCACTTTCTATTCCTGAAAAAAAGTAAATCTTTTCACTATTCCTCTTTATCCCTGTTTTAACCTGACCTAGGTGAATAGGAAAGGATGGTGTTTAGTTTCTCCTATATACTCTAGGACACCCAACCCAACTACCTGATTTCATGTCTCAGATCTCCGAACCTCAAATTGCCGTGCCACGGGAATTTGGGGCTTCATGGTTGAGCAACACAGACATGGACACTACTTTTAAGGAATTCAGTCATCTGGAGGAGGCAGACAAAAAAAAAAGTGATGAGTGCACTATGAGATAGGCACATTTCTCTTTAACTCTAGAAAAGTGTGACCTGGTGGCATGTGGTGAGGATTATAACCTTGCCTAAGGGCTATAGTACTGCTGAGTAACTGGTGACTTCAGATGTAAAGGACAGATAGGATTTGGCCCAGTGGGAAACGGATAGAGTTGTCAAAGCAAAGGGACAGCATACACGAGGTCTGGGAATCAGAGACCATGGATCCCTAGAGCAGGCTTTGTCCCGGCCCCAGTAGCAGATCATAGAACACAGTGGTTTATCTGATTTATTCCCCTTTAAAAATTGTAAGGATCTCATAGGATTAAAGTGACTAAGTTAAAAGTCACAGGGTCAAACCACCCGGGGTTCAAATCCCAGCCCTACCCCTTACTA